GTAGGTCCAAAAGCCTCTCAAGTCAATTATTGTTATAATCTGAATAGTTCTATTCCTGAGAATGCATGAGTAATTTAAAGATTACTCCTAATACCCCTAAAAAATATTGTGATCGGCATTTAGTCGGTGGACCTATGTTGAGTCGACAACACAGGCACAACCACACGTTGTCGATTGCAAGTAGATGCTTTAAATATGCTTACTTACATCAAATAAAATGCGAAGAATCAGCATTAAACATTTATTTCTGGTTAACTACCATAAATTAATATACTTCAGAAAATGTCTTTATAAGCCTGCATTTTACCACTGAAGAAACAATTATTATATATGATATATATAAGAATCATAAGTGCTATGCTATTTTTGATCACCTATAAATAAATACTATACAGATATGGGATATGGTCAGTTCAAAAAATGTTCCAGATACAATTTTTCCAAAAAATCTAAGAAACAGTTAGACGAACATATCACTATATGAGTTTGTTTTGCCAAACATATCAAGAATATAAGGTGTTCCCGAGGTTTCCCTCATTGCGTTACAAACTTCTAGACAAACTTATTTTATTCGTTTTTAAGCATATGCATGAATGAAGAGCAATATATGTTGCATATTAAATTGACATTTAAGTATGAGCACCAAACGTGACATTTGTTTCAAAAGATATTCAATATATAATAACATTTATCAATTTTTAATAGTTCCACTTAAAGGACCGTAAGCAATCACTTGGCATTGTAATTTATTAGGAACGACGATACATGGCGTGACAATATTGCCACTTTCATGATGTTTGCACACATGGAATTCATAAAACTCTTCTGAATAAATTTAAATAAATCAAGTGAGTAGTAAAAGGGAACTGCTATAGGATTGTCTATCTATCATACAGTTTTTAGACAAATTACAAATAGAATTCAATGAAGATACTTTCTACTGTGTACTGATGTCAGTTTTAGTTAACATATTTCATTTTATTACAATTCCGTTCTACTTTTGTTTTATTTACTAAGTAAAATTCGTGATAAACAAAACAAACGATCCCCATCTTTTTCGTAATTGTTGTACAGCAAAATAACGCTAAACCACATTTTAAGAAATTGTTGTTTAAAGGACGGATCTCCATGCTTTTTGAGTAATTTGATTTACCAAAATGTTGAAAGCAAAATTGCTATCAAAACTTCATTCCTGCTTTTATCTGGACCTTAAGGTGACTGTAACCTACTTAATTTTAACTCAATCCCTTTCAGAGCTCATAAGCACCCATTAAATCCAATTCACAGAACGGCCTTACATGAGGCAATTATCACAATCAAGAAATCTCAATTGTATAAACAATGACTGTCGTCCTAGACATAGAAGGGGCTTTCAATACTATCAATGATGTGGACTTACAGCGTACTGATAACTCGGGAATTTTTTTCCTTTTTTTTTGCTTTTGTAGTAGGTGGAAAGCTGATATCTGAGGATAAATGTAGTGCTAGATTACAATTATAGATCGGAGATGAACAATTAATGCAAAGGAGATTACACTAAAAGAGTTGGTCATAGAAAACTGATATTTTCTTTTTTCTGAGTGATCACTACTTAGACCCAAACAGGAAGAAATAAAAGCGGTAGTTATGCGAACGACACAATCCTATAGTATCAGATTTGGTATATTCATTATTATTACCACCAAAATTTGCTATCATGGTAAACCGAATCCCTGTGTATATGTGTTGTATATGTATAAAGATTATAAATTTAATTTAATTTAATTATTCAATTATTATTTAATTTAATTAAAAATTTTATTGACATTTAAAACATTTATCTGTTATCTTAAAAACGACAATGCGTGCCAAAAAAAAAAAAACTGTGTTATCAGAATGGGTTGGTTCACTTTCAAGAGACAAGTGAGCTAATGCGATTTGGCATTGATATAATATGTGTTTTATATACATAGCTTTGTATACGTTTAAAAGTAATTTTGTATATCTCTATATATAAAATATAATATATAAATTACAAAGCACCAAACACAAACAAAGAAATTAATAATCTAAAAACTATATACTATATAAATATTATTCTATAAGTGTATAGGTATATGTATGCTTTAGTTAGCATTAACTTGTACATATATGCTGATGTACGTAAGGTATCATAGCCAGTACCTCAAAACACTGACACATCTTTTTTAAGTTGGAAGTTGGTATCTTATTATAGCATCCAAAAGTACCACTGTTGGATATTAGTTCAGATAGGGTAAACAAGTTAAACACAATTATTATATGAACACCAAAAATAAAAAATAAAAAATAATAGTATCTATTAGGTTGTTCGGAAAGTAATTTCGTTTTTTCCCACAGAAGACAAATACATATATTCCCATTCAACATCACATTGTAATTACACATATATCGACAGGTAATATATCAAGTGTTTCTAGTCAAAAGATTGTTCGACGAAGGCCCATTATATTTTCCAAATCTGGCAGCTTCGCATTGGCATCAGTTCCAGGTTCTAAAAAAATATTTAAACGATCAAAAAAGTAAATACAAAAAGTTTTGTTTGCCTAGTACCATTATCTAGTCGATGACAACCAGAAACAAAACCAAAAAATTATCCAATAAAGTATTTTTAAGCATTATATGAAAACCTTGAGTTTTCATCAAAAAAATTAACGACGTTACTTTCCAAACAAACTAATACTACCTTGTATTTCGAACACAATAAAACAAAAACACAGTTCTCAAAAAATTATCACATCACAACATAACAAACTTAAGTTTATATTTTTTTTACACTTTCTGTTAAATATCGAAAAAATAATACATATATTAATTACTCATACATTAACTTATTTATTAAAGACTTAACACTAAGATATAAATGAGTTCTATTTTAATTTTTGTAAAAATACTAGGTTGTTCTATTAGTTCACAGAGCGCCATCTATTAATAAATTGTGTAACTAAAAAATCACAGCCAACATTTCATTTAGAATCTGTAATTTCATTCTATAAGTGGAAGTTATTTTTTAACAATAGATATGGTACAGTGATAAAATTTTTTGCAGAGTTTAAAGCAATCAAAGTTTATACTAAAATGATATATGTGTTTATACAAGCCTTGAAGACGGTCTACATAGAGGACTTACTAAAACTAAATCAATGTCAAAAACAAGAAATACAATTTTGAAAAGAATAGGTCGATTGGCTGAGAAAGATTTAGTAGAAACTCTAGGCGTTTCAGTAGACACAGTAAGCAATATTTTATGTCAACTTAATATATATCACATTTTAGAATCCTTTCCTTTACTATATATGAGACTTGGGTTTATCATCATGATACCGAATACAAACAAGAACGACAAAAACGATAACGATTTCGTCATTCAAAACATTGTTTGGAAATGTTTATGTATAATCTAGCTGACTGTGAGCATCGAGTAAAGACAATTGATGAAACATATATCCATTACACATCACTCTTGCGGGAAAACAACAAGAACGGTTAGAGCCCAGGGATAGGTAGTGCTCCCAAATAATCGGCTGGAAAAAATTTGGCTTCCGTATCTTGGGATTCAAGTGGAATAATTTTCATAGTTTGGAAAAATGAAAAATAATAACATCAGACTTCTAATAGATATTATTGGATCGATTGATTGAGGAAATTAATACAAACGAACAAATTTGTCGAAGAAAAAAGTTTTGTTTCTGCAGAATAACACACCCGCTCACAGCTGAATGAAAACCATGACAAAATGAAATGAATTACAATACGAAGGTCGTCCAAACCTAGCTTATACTCCAGATTTCTGTTACTATTATCTGTTACCAAACTTGAAAAGATGGAATATGAAAGCGAGATATATTTTGGAGAACTTGATAAATACTGTTGAGCTAAAAATGGACTTTATTGAAGCATATTGAAGCATAATGTATCAAGAAAAATGCATTTTTATTACTTAGGCCGGGTATTTATCAATAAACATAGTATTGTAGTAAATTACACTAAACAAAATAATTTTAGAACTAAAACTAAGAACTAGAACTAATTTGACAGGCACGAGTTCTAAGCCTGGCACTTGCAGTCCAAACAAATTATATACGGACTATAAACTAATTAAATAAAATTCGATTATTTCCAAAGACCACTGATGAAGAGTACTTGGCAATACTCGAAATAGCGTTGTATGGTCAGCCAAATTTCAATAAATTAAATAAAAAAAATTTTGTCTTTGCCTTTCTTTGCTATTCGAATCGGTCTAACTTTTAAATTGGTGTCTTCATTTTTGTTCCTTGCGCCTATTGAACAACCCAGTAGATATCAGTTAAGCTTTCAGGTTTTTTGTTTTATTTTATTAATCACTTGAATTCTAGTTTCGTTTTGAAACCTTGAAACAGATATTTTGCTAACTTATACAATATATAGTAATCACTCTTAATACATCCAACAAATTATGCCATTAAACAATAAACTAAAAAACTAAAAAACTTAAACGTTTAGTTCTTAATATAAATATCTTAAATTTAAAATTAACTTAATTACAACTATTTTTTTACTTACCTTTTTATTAAAATTTACAATAATATATATTCCAAAAGATTATTATAAACAATTGCGATTTTATACCATGAGTAGATTTATTGTTTGTTCTTTCAAAGTACATACATAATATATAAGGTGTGCATGTTACATACAACATTATATTGCACACAACTTAAATCTATATAGTTATATATCCACTATATAATTTGACAAGATTCAACAAGATTCATTAAATTTAAATTTACTACAAATAAATCATTCATTTCTTCACAAATTTATCTATAATTAATAAGAACGATGTAAATAATTGATTTAAAGTTAAAATATACATTAATCCAATTTACATATAATAACTTTAGATAATTAGTTGGCGTTATTATGTACCTTAAGTACACTATTAAAGAATAAAACTTAAAAATAAGTTTTGTTTGATAAAGTTACGAATTCATATTTCATAATTGTAGAAAATATTTTAATATAATTTTATTCAAAACAATGGCATTCATGTAATTATTACATTGTTATATTAGATCTATATTTCTTTACCAGGCTAACATTGCCGGCTTGGCGTATCTAATATTGACAAAATATTTTAAAAATTTAAGTAGACTATGTAATTAAAACTAGTAATATTATAATTAAAATCTTTTCCGGTTCTGTCCTTTAAGTTGAGTACCAACAAAACCTCGATTAGATGTTTGATTGGATTTCTCCCAAATCTGTGCATTACGTCCTCTGTCTCTATTAGATGAAAATGTTGATGCAGAAGCAGATGTTGATTTAGTTAGCCAATCGTTGCGATTTTGTTCCTGATTTTGATTTACAGAAGCAGAATAAGATTGAAAGGGTCGATTAGACTGAATCGATTGAGATTGATTAACTTGATTTTGACTTGTGGACCATTGCTGCGTTTGCAACTGTGTTGAACCAGTGTCTCGATTTTGTTGTTGATTGACAATACTGTTTCCACTGTTATAACCAGTCCAGTTTGTTCCACCTGCACTCCAAACGTGGGTGCCAGCGCTGTTATTAGAGTTGTTAAAATTACCTGTCCGGTTGCTATTTTGGGCAGTTTTCCACATATTGCTATTGTTGTTGGTCATAGTACCTGTGTAATTTTGACTGGCATTCATATTCATATTCCTTCCTACTGTTAAATTTGTTGAATTCATAGTATTTTGAACACCAATTGTATTTTGAACACCTATTGTATTTTGAACACCCATCGCATTTTGTATACCCATTGTATTTTGAACACCCGTAGAATTTATACTTCTAATATTATCATTATTAGTACCAACATTATTATAGTTTGCACTTGAAAGTCTGGAAAAATTACTGACATTTGAATAATTATTATTATTTTGACCACTACTTATTGTTGGTACATTGCTACGTTGTTCTAAAAGGTTACTAATGTTATTGTTAGAATAATTTGAAGTAATTGTCTCCGTACGATTTGAATGAGATTGACTTTCGGATACGATCTCCCTTTGTGAGGCTGAAAATGGAATTATAAATTTAGTTAATGTATCAGATAGCAATGTGTTATCAACACCTTTCTGAGCCGCTGAAGAACCCGAATTTAAAGTTGAACTTGTCGTACTTGTTTGTTCATGTTTTTTCTTTTCCATACATTTATAAACAGATAAAAGTTGTTCCAACTGGTCAAGTGTAAAATTGGTTTTTCCTTGAGCTGTTAACGATGCAGCAAATTTTGTAGCTAAATCTTTTATATTGTATTGTTCCAATACGGCAAGTATTTGTGGATTTGGAGATCGTATTTCATTAGATGATTTTTTTTGATTTGTTGCATTTTCATTGGCATCAGTAAGGAAGGAAGATTTTGTGTTCATTTGAGCATTACTTCTACCGACTAGGTCATTAGCACTTTTCATTCCAGTTACTGGAGCTGAAACTGGCACTGGGACTGGATTACTTAATTGGACTTGGGCTGTAGGACGTTTATTTACTTCAGCAAACCCTAACTCATTTGAATCATTATTAAATTCTTTGTCTGCATATTCTAAAAGCATTTTTATTTCTTTTATTGCTTTATTTAAAGCATTAGCTTTTGTACCTTCTAACAGACCAGAAATTACTATGCCTTTAAACTTTTCCATACACGTTTGAAGCATTGTACAATTTTCCTCTGTAAGTATTATACGGTCTACTTCCTTTGGATTCGTTTTTTCTATTTGTAATGTTTTTGACATTAGCTCTATAATTTTGGGTCCCAAACTTCCCAAATGTTCCTCTAATGCTGTCATCAAACGCAAAACCGGTACAACTTCGCAATTATATGAATTTTCATAACTATCCTTTCTTTTCAGATCGGCCTTGTTATTATCCTGTAATTTTGGTTTATTATTACTTATTGGTTGCGTTGATGTTTGGACATTATTATTTATATGGTAATTCGGATTTTCTAATGTATCATTGGCCATAGGTAGACAAAGTCTTTCCCTACATTCTACTTTTGCTTCTTCTATGGACTGATTATAAAGTTCAGTAATACGAGTTTTAAAATAAGCTATCCACTCGGGCTGATAATTATACGAACGATGATTAATTCCAGCAGCGTAAAGTTCATCTCTGCGACGTTTCCAAAATTTCTGCCACTCTTCATTATACATAGGATGCGTTTCAGGATCTTTGGTATAACCCTTATATAACATATTGATTTCATCTAATTTTCTATCTACCATATGTCGGTACGCTTGCCATATGTCATCTTTTCGTAATGGCGAAATAGATTTGCGACGTTCACTTTCATATGCATGTCCATAGTTTAATCGTTTATTTTCATATAAAGGAGATTTTGAACGACTGCGCTTTAAGTTTGGTCGACGACCGCGGTTAGTATCTCTTAAAAAATTGTCCACCAATTGGTTATAAGTTCTATCGTCAACTGGTGGAGCCGGTGCGGCATTATAACTATAGTTATGCATGTCATTTTGTTGGAAATTTCTATAATTAAAATTTGGTTGTTGAAAATTTGGATAATTATATTGTTGATAATTGTATGGTTGATTAGGTGCTAAAGCAGCAGTTGGTGTTGGTAAAGTAGTAAGTGTTGGTAAATTAGTTGCCGGTATTAACGTTGTTTGTGTTGTTATATTACCGTTTGGACGATGTATTATATCATTCATTTTTTTTTCAGGAGTACATAGTAATGCTGGCGGCTTGTAATTGTGCCTTTCAGCAATTAATTTATCGACTTCTTTGGTATCAACAACTTGTGTAAACGAAGGACCTATCAGTTCAGAGGCATGTCTGAACGAATATACTTTAGTCTGTATTTCGGATCTTTCTGAATTATACTCCCATTCAAAACATTCGTGAGGTAAGTTTCGCCCATGATGTTCTTCAATAGCATATGCCAATTTATGAAGAATAGGTGCCAGTACTTTAAATACTTCATGCTCTTCTACATTCGTTATATATCGGCGAAAATGGCGTAGAGCAGTTGGAAAATGCTTTTCCATATATTTTAAACGGTGATTGTAACCAGCTAAATGATTTTGCATATCATTACCAAATAAACGAATCTCACACAGACTGCATTCATATCTGGGAGAATTATCAGCTTTATGTTTAAGAATTTTTATAACATATTCAACACCTATTAACCCTAATATATCTCTTTTAATCGGTACACCACCAAACGTTTTAACTGCAAAATTTTGTTTGTCTTTAATTTGTTGAGGGTTCGGCTTTTTCTGTTGTTGCTTCGACTTGCAAACTGTTGGTATGACAACTATATTTTTTTGATAGTTCGGTTTATTATTGCTATTGTTATTACTTTTGGTCACGTTTTGTTTTTTATTTTGTTCAGTTGATTTCTCAATCAACAAGGCTGCTGGGTTAACAACAATTTGCGATTTGCTTGATGAATCCTTACTTGCATTTGTTTCCACATTTTTATCATTTGCTGAAAGTGTAGTGTTTTCGCCATTATTTTCGGTATCTGTTGACTTATCATCATCATCAATAACAATCACTTCTGTCAGATCTTCCACAACAGTCACATTTGACTCTTCAGTCATGGTAACGTCTTCCTTCTGAGTGAATGGATTTTTTATAAAATTCATTCCCTGTTTGTTAGGTGTTGACAATTGTTTATTATTATCTACGGTTTGTGAATTGCTATTCTCTTTTAAAGCATTTTTATTATTTGCAGCTAATGGTTTGTTGCTAATATCTTTAGTATTTCCCATTGTGACCTTACCCGTTTCTGCGCTCAATGTTTTACCAACAGTATTAGTATTTCCTTTATTTGATTCAGAGACCCCGGAATCTTTATTTATATTAGTTTGTATTGGAACTTTTTTAAGGTTACTTTTTTCATTAAGCCGAGTTTTGGAATTGACATTTACCGGATTTTTTACCTTTACATTTTTGTTACTGTTATTTTCTGGCCTTACATTTGTTACCATTACTTTTAATTCTTTAATATCATGATTTTTAGGGTACGTGTATCCCTCCAAATAAAACTGTTTAACAGTTTTCATTTTTGTTTTATGATTGCTATCATCCATATGCAAACGAATTTTATCTCCAAATTGTTTCACCATGCATATATTGCATCGGTACAACTTTTTGGATATATTCAAAAGAGTAATCATTTTTTTCCAATCAATGATACGATATTCAATTAAGAGCAAATCTTCTATACTTAAATGCGGGATCAATTCGCAAAAGTCAGCCTTGGTTAGTCGTTCA